TAACTAACTATACTACTATATATAATACATATATATATATATATATATATATATATAATACTATATATATATATATATATATATATATATATATACGTGTAAACATATACACACGCATTCCCACCCATAAACACAAACACACACACACACACATATATATATATATCATACATACAAACATATATAAGTACACATATCCGCACATAGTTAAACACACACAGACGCATACACATACACACATATATATAAAATATAGACATACATACATACATACATACATACACATACACACACACACATATATATATATATACTCGACATATAAACACAGATTCATAAATATACAGGTTTCTCGTTACAAAAACAATATTATGTCAACTAAATATCTACATCTGTATATGCACTTTCGTTCCCGTATTGGAATATTGACACACAAAGAAGATGATATGCTGATAGTATATATATATATATATATATATACAAACATGGACCTGATTGGAATATTCAAAATACATATTTGTACGCGCATATGCATAACTGTGATGGTGTACAGTATCCCCTATCAGCACAATACATACCCATCAATCGCGTCTCGTTTCCATAAGGAAGCATGCGGCCGTTCGGAAGCGGTATGATACGGGTAACGTCAGGGTCCCAACTATCTCTAATCGCTTCGAGGTCAGGCAAAAAGCCCGGATCAAGATCACACAGTGGTCGTAGCACAAATTCACGCTCAAACATTCGGACGTGAGGAATACTCAGTTCCTCAGTCCGCATCACCAGACCGGTCTCTACATTGCCGCAACTGGGATGTACACCATAGGTAAGGATATCCAAGTCTATATGGCGTGGACCCCAACGTTCCGATGGTACACGGCCCAGTTCCTGTTCGCCACGTTTCAAAGCAGCGAGTAAGTCTAATGGACACAGGTCTGTAGTGAGTGAGACGACTATGTTGTAGAAGGCTGGCTGGTCGGTCACATAGGCGGCTGGCGTGGAGTAAATGAAGCTGGTGTTGATGATGGAATTACTCAGATCTTGCAAGAAGAGACAGGCTTGTTGCAAATTGTTGTGCCGGTCACCCAAATTGGTGCCCACCGCAATGTATGCTAAACGCCACGAAGAGTCTAAACTAGACAGTCTCCGAGGAGGACTGATGGTTTCAGCTGCAAGTTCAGCCGGGTCGCTAACTAGCAGATCAGCGTCGACTGAGAGGTTCATAGTGCGATGAGTATTTGCTGTCACAAGCTATTATGACCACACTATCCTAATCCCCACCCTTTTATATATGTATATAGTGATAAGTTATAATTCGTAAGCCGTCTGTACAACAAGAAAGTTGTGGATTGAGGGGCCATGGTGGTAATATAGTACATTTGACGATTACGTGGAGTTCGTGTGAAGTGACTCATTGTGATTTGCGGTGTTCTAAAAGTTCCATATTCATTATTCAGAACCAGGATTCAATTGGTATTAGGATTTGAAGACCAGTTTCAATAGGCGAAATCGCATATCTTTCTCTGTGGACTGTAGAGGTCAGAATTCAGATCAAAGCTCAACATAGGGCATATTTATTAACTTTTTTTAAAAAATAGGGCTAAATAATTTTGCGTAAAATTTTTAAAAACGTTCATGCTGTAGTAGTGCCACGGGGATTTCAAGTGGGTGTAGTTCTCGAGTGAGCCGTGTATTCATCTTTTTTTACGTTAAAACGTATAATTCCAATCATTAAAAATCGCATTCGCGTTGAACGATTACTGCGTGGGAGCCATAGCCCATAGACTTAAAGTTTCCGATCTCGAATGGAAATTCTATTTCCCTGATAGGTGAGCACTAAATAACGAATTCGGTAAATAGAATGTTCAAGTCGGTTGTTTATTATTATTATCTATATACAAATTGTTCTTATGTAGGAGTTGTCTGTGATATTTGATCTCCTTGTAATCTTAATTTTCTAGAGGGAGGAAGAACGAGCCGGCTTAACTTTGCAAGAAACTCATGAAGTCTTGTTTGTTCTGTACGGGCGTCCGGGTCGGTCGTCCCAGATCTTTCCTAGAACCACATCCTACACGGATCTCTAGCAGGGCAGGCCCCTCAGACTTCCGCAGAGTGGCCAATTCTCTGATGATTTCTTCGCTGCTTTCGGCGGTAGCAGCGTGTGTGTATCCACAGCCTTTAGCGATTGTAGGTATAGAATAGTGGCCTGCTAGTGCTTGGGTTGGCTGTCCGCCAACCGAGTCGTGTGCGCCATTGTTAATAACCACGTGTTTTAGGTTGCGAGGTTGTGCATGGCCGATGGTGGCCATAGAGCCCATATGCATCATCATGGCACCATCCCCGTCCAGGCAATAAACCTTAGTTTAAGCAGAAAACAATCGTTATGAGAACACGAATACATCGATGCTATACAACAATTCTACCACGCAAATTATGGCTCCAGCAAGCTTCCTTTTGACTTGAGGAGTAAGTGGAATCTGCAATAAAATAGTTGCGCATTTTCTACTTACAGGGCGATCAGGCTTAGCATTTGCAATCCCGAACGCGATTGATGAGGCATGACCCATGGAGCCGACGGTTAGGAAGTCACGAGCATGGCCATGGTTCTTCTTTACGCGATACTCAAAAAGTTCCCGTGAAAGCATACCGGTAGTGCCTACAACACAATCGCTGTTAAGCATATTGTAATTTAGGTATCGTTAGTTCTCCTGCATGTAATCATCATATGAAAAACGACAGCCTTATTTAGATCAAAGTACAATATTGGTCGGATCCGTACCTGTTATCCAGACTGTCTATAACCATTTGTATGGCACTTTCACGTGTGTGTTCAAACATATTCTTCTCAGCTGGAATCTTGTATGTGTCGAAAGTGCGACGCCTCACCAAAATAGCATAAGGCGCTTGTTTCGCCTCCATGTACGCATGAGCTGTTGCAAGAACCTTTTCGGCACCATCCAGATAGTCGGGCAAAACCTGTGCACGTTTGATAAAATCAGAATAACATTATTTGGGTTTCTGAAAAAATTACACACATTTAACACCCTCCTCTACCGTGGCCGCTGGATGTTGTGAAAGTGTCAGAAGTCAGAATATTTGATGATAGTAAATACGAACCTGGAAGGGTATGCCAAGAGATTGAAGCAATGCTGGAGTTGCATCACCTTGTACAATATGCTGAGGCTCATCTTTTTTTCCCGGTTCGCCTCGCCAACCGATTAGAATACACATCGGGATACTGTACACTTCAGGTGCCGCAAGTGACAGCAGTGGGTTTACAATGTTACCTGGATGGTGCGATGAAGAGGTAATATATTTAATTTACAAGAATAGTAAAGAAGTTTTAGTTTGGATTATACCAAAACATCGTCGTTCCTGGAAGATTTTGCGGTCTAAAGACCATGTAGAAGCATACAAGAGGTACGAACCAATCCGAGGTGACTTTTTTCTGCCATGAAGTGAGCAGCATTAGCACAAAGCAACTGAAATTTGTTGAGGATAGAACAAGACACACAGCGTGACCTCGCTAAAATACGTTTATCATATGTATCCGAAAGCATGTTCTGGAAGCATACCGAGTCCGGAATTCTGCAGATAAACCATCGGGGTCTTGCCTGTGGCTAAGTGATAACCAGATGCCAGGGCAACAGCACTACCCTCATTTGCAGCAATGGTGTGCCGTTCGATAGGTGTATTCTCCGTTACGTATGCACAGAAGTCCTGAATTAATTATGGTGGACGCATCAAATTTATGTTGTTGTAGATGCCAATCACATACGTATACAAGCTGCAATCTGACATACAAGATCGGTTGAAAACGGCGGGTCTGCAGAAAAATAACACTATCAAGCTTTTCAGACCGTTGAAAACCTCAATAATAAACTTACTTTCAGTAAGGAATCGGGGACTCCCGTAAAATAATCGATACCATATCTCCCGCACGCGTTATAGAAACTGGCTGGTTTCAAAAAATCTCGATAGAGCTCCGTGAATTGTTTATCATCCTGGATAATTAGCGGCGAATTTGATTACAATCAGCATTCTTCACGCAAGTTCATCCTGGTTGAAGATTTGGCACGCCAAACATACACACTACAGTACCGTCTCATATCTTTGTAAATGATCCGCTGAAAGTTCTAGCGGGTTAATGCAACTTCTGGAGTACACAAGTTGAGAAACTACTCGCAACACGGCTAGATTCTAAATTCCTAGTCGAAACTAGAGATCTGCTTGAAAGATTTTCAAGTACACATTATGGCGGATGCCGTATATTTCGTGTACACAATCCCGTAACAAACGTCTTCTTTATAACTTACAACTGATACAATGTATGCTTCTACGACCCGCGTGCACTAGAGTACAATGAAATCAATACATATAACACTTGCGATTTTCATATGCGATTTTCATATTAGATGCCGAACACTGCGGCGAACGACGATAGTTTACTTGTGTACTCTTACTATGCTATAACCACCCACCTGCTCAAATTGGTGGCCATTGGGGTCTTGCTCAGGGACTACCAAGGGTCCAACACAGGTTGTTTTGCTCGAGCTCTTCAGTGTTCTGGCGGCGACATAGAATGGCTGAGCACTTGACAGAGAGGAGAGTCTGCTGTACTGCCTGGGAACTAACTTGAACATGCTGTATTTTTGAACTAGGCTGAAACTATAGCTACAAACTTTTAAATAAAGCTCAGGTGTTACTGATCGAACAGTGAAATCTGTAAGTATTCTGCTTTGCAGACACTGACGACACTGTGGTAATCCCGACTAGTTGTTTTTTAAAATTATACTAATATTTGCGAACGAGTATCGAGTGAATCGACAGCCTGTTTGCACATAGACTTTTACTCTCCTTTCTAAAATTACTGTAGTCTGAGTCACTCTGGGTGTCTGGCCCCTGGGGTCCTGGGAGGCTACCGGCTGGGTCCCTCTTGTATTGGGGACTGGGGAGGCGGGGTCTCTCTTCTATCAGTGTGGCCAACTGGCCAGTGGCCACGGATCACCTCTCATATGACTTGATATTCAGATTTCAGTCACGGAGTGAACAGTTGCTCAGGAGAGCTCAGTAACCAATCATCACCTACTGTGATCAGCTCGTAGGCATGACAACCGATAATTCTTTAAAAATATAATCCCGGGCTCTCTGGCCTATGTTTGTAAAACTCTTGCACAAAACATGTTTTGAAACATCCGAGACCGAGGAAGAAGGCATACCATGCGCAGTTGCACACATGCATATCTCTGGCTTATTCAGAGTTTAAATTGTCAGTTCTCTGGCTTATTTAAGTTTGTGGTGTACAATTACTCTACACTCTGAAGCAGACAGCTCTGAAACTAAATATGTCGCGGCATAGGTGCCCAACATGTATGGGACTGTGTTTTGCGCGTCAAACTGAATATCATCTTCAGCTAAAGGCATAAAAAACTGAGGGATAATAATAGATGACCCACAACTAGTTGGGTGCTCGCATCCACTGTCACACCGAGCCGTGTTGTTCCCGGTCGAGTATGTAATATAGAATGGGGAATTATCTTGGCGAGCCAGTGTTATAAGACAGACAGGTGTCTCAAACTGACTGAGCTAATAGCCTTCGATGAAGTACGAATACGATTCGATTACTCAATTTTGTGATACTACAATATATGCCTACACATACGCACAAAAAATATAGAAACGCACCATCTCCCTCCCTCCCACTCTCACACACGCACAAACACACAAATAGACACAGAGACACACACACAAACACACAAATAGAGAGAGAGAGACACACACACACACATACACAATTACACACGTATAAAAACACACACACATATACTACATACACACACAC